TGGCAGGCATTTTCTAGAAGTATCATTTCAACCTGGAGTACTTGGTTGGGATCCAGTGGGATCCTCCACAAGGCAAATCATTGGCAACATGTTGGTTTGGGCATGGTCAGATAAATCAGTGGCCAACAGGTGTTGAGTTGGGCTCCCTTTAAAAAGATCTGCCAGCACCCAGCCAGAGAGCTCACCCTTCTAGGACTTATGGGCAACAGGAACAGCATATAGGAGATGAACTAAAAATTCCAGTTTAGAAGATATGTATGTGTACTTGGTGGCTGTTCAGTAGAGAAGTCATTCATTTTGTAGGTTCTGGGTTCAGAAAACTGAACATGTATAACTACAGAACGGGTCAACTTTAATCAGGTGGAGGGGCCCTTTGGCTTTCATGAACATGACGTGCACAGGGTTTGCAACGTGAAGATTCAATAAGGCTTAGAAAGTACATGTTGAAGCCATGTGGATGCTTCCCTTGTCTCACTTCTGCTGGAAGATCTGTTGTGAATCTCCCTTGCACATGCAGCACAGGGGTGTGGAGTCCCCATGCTGTGATGCTGTGACCCAGCTGTGTGCCACTGGCTGCCCTTCAGCACAAGCGGGGATGTGGTCGGTGTGAGCTGGGTACTTGGGGCCAGTTTCCGTTCCACCTGGTGCATGGCTGCTGTTACTTCTTGCAAAGTGTGCCCAGGCTCTTTTTAGCTTTACTGCTCGTGCCAGATCAAACCCACAGCCCGTTTTAAGATGGAGAGCTTGGACGGAGGCGGCAGGCGATGCACTACAAAGCAGTATCTGTTTAAGATCTTGCTGCCTTTCTGTTCCAACTGAAGCTTCCCTTTGCCAGGCTGGGGTATGCAGCACAACCCCACAGCCACTGCAGCGCTCCATTACTTGCTTCACAACCTCCACCTTTGCTTTGCATAGCCACAGCAGAGCTTGTTCAGAAACCCCTTGAGCTGGGTGTAGATGTGGGGGCATTTTTTTTTAAGATGTGATTCCCCTTCCTATTGCTTGTTGTCACATCTTTTTAAGCATGTTTAACCCGTGTTGTAGGAGCAAAGCTTGGAGGCTTAATCCTTGCTGCCATTATAGGATCACAGAATGGTTGGGTTGGAAAGGATCATAAAGCCACCCCAGCCTTCTTTTCTCCAAGCTGAACACCCCCAGCTCCTGCAAGCTGTCCTCACAGCAGAGGTGCTCCAGTCCTCTAAGCATCCCCGTGCCCTCTGCTGGCTCTGCTCCAACAGCCCCACTTTTTGCCCCAACCCAAGTGCATTACTTCACACTGGGCCTTGTTATACCTCATTCAGTTCTTGTGAGCTCACGTTTCAAACCAGTCCAGGTCCATCTGGATAGTGTTTCTTTTGGAGGAAGGAGCTGCCTTGGTGGCCCTTTGAGATGTGCTGGTTCAAATGAGATGTGAGCAGTGGAGACCCTCGCTTTAAGCAGCCAGTCAACCCACTGGCTGCTGCCTGCTGATGGGGTTTCACAACCTGTCATTGCCAAGCAGGATGCAGCTCCATTCTGCAGCTCCAGCGGTTGCTTTGGGGCTGTGGGTTCAGCTCTGGTGCTTACAAACATCTGAGGGACCTGTGGGTGAATGGTGACTTTGGGTTAGAAATTCCCAAATGTAAGTTTTGGTGAAAGGGGATTCCTGATCCTACCTCATACTGTGACCTCTCCTTACATTGCAATTCTGAATATCTGAAAGGAAAAAAAACCTATTCTGGTATAAGCTGTAAAACCAAAAGCTGGAAAGAACCACTTAACAGTTCCTCATTCATCTCTTCCCCCTGTGTCTGATGCAGTTTGTCAGAAGAAGATGTGATCACTCTTGTGGTTTCCTTTTTGGGCGTTTTTTGCACAACAAAACAAAGTTGGTGCTCACCAAGGCCTGCCTGCAGAACCATGAGCTCCCCTCTCTATTGTGCCACGGCTGTACGTGCTTCTAAGCAGCCATGCAGCTTTTAAGGGGAATTGTTTGCTTAATGCACCTTTAGATTTGACTTTTAAAAGCAGTTGTGGTAAATATGCTATTAAAAGTAAATGTTTTTAGTAATTGGTATGAATTTTGATAACAGCAAAACTAAAAGCCTTTTTCCTTGACATGTCAGCTTTCAACCCAAGAGCTGGCAGCCTCAGCATGTGTGCTTTGGGGTTTCTTCTGCCATGCTGGATCTCTGCAAGTTTCCTACAGCTTCAAGGGCTTCAGCATTTCATTACAGTGACTTTGGTGTGACTCAGAGTTGCTCCACTTACCCAGGGTGTGTGCCGTGGTACAGCATTGCCTGTGGCTGGCACTTGCCCTGCCCTGCCTAGAGCCTTTCTGGTTTCCTAAAGCTGAATGGGAGTGTAGTGCATCACCTGTTGGCTGGTGCAGCTCCAGCCCAGGGCCCAGTGGGGGCTAAAATGCCCAGTGCTGAGCAGGATGTGGCCTGTGTGTGTCTGACCTTGGTAATTTTTCCTTCTTGTTTGCTGCCCATACTCACTCAGCGATGGTTCAAGGAGCAGAGGGGGCTGGAGAAGGCAGCATCTGACAGGAGCTCGCCCTGTTCCTGTACAGTGTTAGCTCATTGAGCCCAGCATTTTGCCTTTAAGAGCATAACCTTTATTAGAGGATGGACCAACAGCAGCCAAAACTGATTGCCTAGCCATGGGCATAGCAAGTGGAAATCCCCATAACCTTTGATATGAGGTAGTGAATTTATAGGACCAGAGAATGCTTTGGCTCAGATCCGGGAGAAGTCTTTATGTGCTGGCTTTTCACTGAGCTGTGTATTAGTCCATAATATGGTAAATCATTATCTTTCAGTGAGACACGTGTGCTTTGCTGAGGGATGAGTTAGGTAAGAACTGGGATGGATGTGTTATGGGTAGGAGATTCGTTCTTGGAGTGGGCAGTGGGCCCTTTCTGCCCTCTTTCAGGTTTGTTTGGTTTCTTTGGGAGGGTGAAAGGTGCTGCTGCCTGCTGTGTGCTCATTGTATAGGCTGCTTGTTTTTAGCAGGAAAAAAAAAAGAACAGCTTAGGAGCAGAGCAGCCAAACTGCAGCAGGAGAGCAAGGGGTGGCCACTGCGCTGCACCCTGGGCATGGGAGGGAACCAGGCAGTGTCCCTCCTGCCTTCCTGAGGAACCTCTGCTCTGGCTGCAGGGTCGTCCCCAGCATGGAGGGCTTGTGGCTCTCAGAGAGGGGCTGCATGGCTGGGCTGCGCCTCAGGAGCTTGTGGCAATGCTCAGAGTCAGTGCTGTGATCTTGGCTGCCCTGGGCTTTGTCTAGCACTGGCTGCTTTCAGTAAGGTCACCAGATTTCCGTCTTAATTTTCCTTTTCCGTGGGCTGTAGATATTAAAGGCTGACCTTTAGCTTTACATTTTTGTTAATGAAATTATACAGAAGTTTCACCACATCTGAGCTTAAAATGCAGCTGAATTTCCGTTTTCCTGTGATCACTGATTCCAAACGCTGTCAGTTTGATGCGTGCTCAGATTGTGCCACTAGACCAGGAACTTTGAATGGATGCTGTGTTTCAACCAACATCTTTTGCCGCATTAGAAAAGGTAATTCAGTACAAAGCAGTCATGTGGTCATCAACATGCATCCTTCACAGTCTGATTAGCCCATTAGACATGTCCATAACCTTATTAGGGTTGGCATCACGCTATCCGGTTCTGTGCCAGAAACTGCATCAGGTCTTTCCTTTGTGGTCACATCCTCAGTCGTCATGGGAGATCTGGCAGTGCTTAGGTTGGTTGTTGGCCTTCACGTACCCCAGTAAATTATGCAGCTGCGTGCAGAAAACTTTGCTGTTACTGACAGCTGTAAGGATGAAATGGGGAGGACAGGGGCCTAGATTCCCCCAGAATTTGAGCTTGGAGGGTGTGAAGCACTGAGGTGCAGCCCAGATCCAAGCAGGGTGTCCTTGTGGTACAGGGCAGCTCCAGCCCAGGGCCCAGTGGGGGCTAAAATGCCCAGTGCTGGGCAGGATGTGGCCTGTGTGTGTCTGACCTTGGTAATTTTTCCTTCTTATTTGCTGCCCATCCTCACTCAGCGATGGTTCAAGGAGCAGAGGGGGCTGGAGAAGGCAGCATTTGACAAGAGCTCGCCCTGATGTTGGTGTTGGCTCTGTCCACCTGGGTTGTGCCTATCACCATTGACTGAGAGCTACTGCAGAGCAAATTAGGGGTAGATCATTCTTCTCCATGCGTCAAATTTCCTCAGTGTTAATGTTAGCAGTTGCTTGTGTGTGTAATCAAAGCAAGGTTCTGCAGTCTCCTACAAACCCACACCTTCTGGCAGTGCTTTTTCATAGGCCCCCGATTGAAGCACAGTGCATCGACACTGGAAACATCTCACCTTAAAATGGCTGACAGCTCACACACTGGTGCTTTCAGCTCATGCTCTCGCGTTTCTTGCTTTTTGTTTTCCTTGTGATGACTGTGCTTAGATTGTCAGAACTCCATATGCACATTTCAGGTGCCTGGGTGACAGAAGGCTGAAAGCAGTGTGGATAGAATACCTGCAGGTCTGGGGTCTGGCAGACTGATGCTGCAGGAAGGAATGTAAATCTGCAAAGTGTGATGGCAGACCCAAGCCAGGGCAGCCTGGCCAGCCATCCATATCCAGATGGCAAAAACCTGGTGTGAGCAAGCTCTGTGGCAGGCTGCTTCTCTTCTCTTTAGAAGAAAGTAGGTGTCATTCAGCAGTGTGCTGCCCACCAACTGGGCGCTGTCACCTGTCTGTCCCAAAGCCCCTGGGGTGCACCACTGGAGCACTGGTCATAGGGCGATGCTCAAAGCCCTCTGGTTTCAGCTGTGTAGCAGTTGTTTTCCAGAGTCATGGTCTGTACTCAATCCCCATTATAGGTTGCTGTACTCACACCCCTTTGACCTGTGCTACAGAAGAGCTTGCTGCCTGACAGTGTCCCCTCTTGCTCAGGGATACTGGACAGCTCTGCATTTGCACAAGCAGCTCATCTGTGTTGCAGTGTGTACAGCTCTTCTTGCATCCTCCTAACCAGAGTGCTTCTCCAGCCACTTGTGGAGAATCTGACCTTGCATTTTCTCTCTCAGGTCTCTGATGAACTGGTTGAGAGCTTGAGCAAGCAAGGGCTGTGGAGGTAGTTAGGGTCTGGCACTTGTTTTTCATGAACTTAAAGTCCTGTGGGTTTTACTTTTCCCCCATCTACGCCCCTTTCCTTAACTTTCTTTTAACCTACACATAGCAAAACAACACCAAGTCTATTCTCATTAAAATGAGAATTACCAGCAGCAGTTGTTGTTTTGTTTTTTAAGAAAATTAATATCAATCATGAGGAGAGGGAGAGAAAAAACATGGAAAGACTTGTTCTCACTGACAAGCTTGTTTTGACAGGCGTCCTTCAGTCAGCATGATGATTTTGTACCTCCATCCAACACATGCACTCACTCTTGCTGGGCTGTGCATCTGATGGCTGTCTCACCTCTCAGCCCCTTTCTGCGGGATGCCCCAGCTGCAAGACAGGTGCAATTCTCTGCACTGAACAGAGCAAAACTCACTGGAAGTTAAAGCTAAGCAGTAGGATATCTGCAAGTACCATCTCTGGTGACATTTGCATTGGTCCCAGGTGTGTGCATTACGGGCACCTTTTGGCTTTTGTGCTCTTCCATGATTGCTCTCTGGGCATTCTCCTTTAACAGACCTGGGTATCCGGTCCTGCCTTCCAGCCACGATCCTTTTGATGTGCTCTGCTCAGCATAGGTTTTACTTTCCCCCAGGAGCAGCACCAACTCTGTGGGCAACCATGGTACTGCATCACCCAGCCAGGCTATGAGCACAGGAGGCATCTGAAAGCACCAAGAAATAAGTCAGGTTGCTAATCCTGGGAGGATTTAGTAAAAACACTTATCTGAGAAGCTAAGTGCAAGTTCACTGGCCTGCCAGAGAAATAATCCAGTGGAATCAGAGGTTCTCAATTATTCATGTTTTTCCAGAATCACATTATTTATTCCAGGGGCTGTTTTATAAATGCTGCTGCTATTTCTGATAGTAAATAACAATTTTGCATTATTTATGAACAGATTTTTACAACTGCTGATATTACAGCTGCTGCCAAAGCTCTGGGAAAATTATTATTGCTGTTTGTTGTTGTCTGTTGCTTCCTTCTTACAATGCAGCCCTGTTGTTCTTTACATGATGATGCGGCCGTCACGGTGAGACGAGAAGCTGAGTGTGAATGCAGGCAGTGACTCACGTTAGCAGTGAGCTTGTGGTGGTGCTTGGGGCTGAGAGGAGTGGGGAAAGAACCCCAGGCCTTGGTTAAATTTGAAGATGAGGGGATGCTTGGAAGGAAAGCAGCATGTCTGGGTAGCACAGAGATGCCTGCTCAATTGACAGGCAGGTCCTAGAGCATCTCCATCATCCAACATGGCCCAGCAGTGAGCTAACTTGAAATGCAAGTGCAAGAGGAGTGAGCTCCTAGCTGACGGTTTAAAGATGATCTCTGTCCTTGGATGGGTTTGTGCTCATGGGTTTGTGGAACTGGAAGTGAGCAGGGGCAGGTGTCTGCTTGCACTCCTAAGGCAGGATGTTCTCTAGGGACTGTTAGCACTGCTTCTGCTCATCATTTATTTCAGATGATGCCCCACAGAGAAAGAAAATACCCTGCACCTATCTGTCATGGTTGCACTCCTGAAGACATGCTTCTTTGTTGTTCTCTCCAATATGGAGGGGAGTTAGTGGAGAGGATCTAAGACAGGTTTGCTGATGAGACATTTTCATTTGCAAGTATGTTCAGTTGGAACTGCCTCTGTCCCAGCTTCAACCCAGCTGGGAAGAGTGTGGAGGAGAGGGAGAAGGGCTGTCCATGTGGAATACTGCAGGGTAGCCAGGATAGAGACACGTGGCCAGTGCTCGTGCTGTCACAGCATTACACTGCAGTGCTGGAAGCCTTCTGAATGGTTTGTTTGTTGTTGGTTCTGCTGCCCCTATGCACTGGGGAGCAAGGTGAAGTGTCAGCAGGCAGTTACTGCAAGAGCCATGGACTGCAGGTGGCTGTGAGCTGCTGCATCTGGCTGTCGCTCGTTTCGGTCTTGTGTCTCAGTACAGGGCTGTGACTGCAGAGAAAGCAGTGAGGAGCTGTGTGTGGTCTCTGCCTGGATACGTTGCCTCTGGATGCATCCTGGGAGCCAGCAGGGTAAGGAGGTATGCAGCGATCCTGTGGTGCTGGCAGCAAGTGACAAGATCAGAGATGCACAGTGTGGTGCAAGGGCATCCACAGGTCTTGCTACTCTAAGCCCAGCAATGGAAGCAGCAGCACAGTGCTTCCCAGGTTGCAAGAGTGAATGCAGCTGGTCCTGTGGCTTCTGCTTGCTGCCTTTGGTTTTGGAGAGGAATAAAGGATTTACCTAGGCGTGCAGCACTGTGAATGGCATTCATGGACACAGCCACATGACCCAGCTATGACCCAGCTCCCTTTCTGCAGCCAGGATGTGAGGCAAAGCCCTAGGGAGCTGGAGTTGAAGCTACTGTAGAGCAGCTGCTTCTCTCCATTGCTGTATGCTGGGGGGCTGAGAAGCTACTCTTAGCTCTGCTGTGGGTCCCAGCAGTCAGCAGCAGGAATGGGGCAGCCACCAGTGAGCTCCTTCTCTACTGTCCTTTGCAGGGCTGGAACTGGGTCACTGCATAACAGATGCAGGCACTGCATCCTTCAGCCTCTGCTATGGGGTTGAATTGGCCAATGTTTGCATGGCAGCACAACCATAACTTCTTCCTCCTTCCCATGACACCCAGGTGAGCTGCTCCCCATGTCCCCAAGCACCCATCCACCCTCCAGTATGCATTCAGCATCTCCATTATCTGTAGCTTCATTTCTCTCTGCTCTGCAGTTACACAAGGGGGTTCATTGAGTGCAGTCTGATGGTGCAAAGCAGCACAAGCAGAAAGACTGTTCAGAGACCTGACCAATCTGTTTAGTTTCCCTTCCCCTCCTTCCCCATCTCTTAAAACACACTGCAAGCCAAACCATTGAAAACAAGCAGGCTCACAGCATCTGGAGCCCTAGATGCCATCCGCCAGCCCATCGCATAGAACCACCAGCCAGCTGAGTGTGGGGATCTATCTAGCAAATGCCATGTTGCTGTAGAGCCTCACAGGACTGAATCCAATTATTTTGCTGTTGGAAAACAGAGTTAAATGTAAGCAGCTGCAAGTTGTGTTTTCTCCTTCCTTTTGCAGATCTTTTCCATCGTGGTGTTCGGCTCCATTGTGAATGAGTGCTATGTGAACAAGGATGGCACAGACCCTGAGCTACATTGCATCTTCAATGAGAATGAGAGTGCCTGCAGCTATGGCATTGCCATTGGCATTATTGCCTTCTTCGGATGCATCTTCTTCCTTGTTGTGGACCTCCAGTTCCAGCAGATCAGTAGCGTGAAGGACCGCAAACGAGCTGTCCTGCTGGACCTGGGCTTTTCAGGTACAACTTTAGCTTTGCTAATGGACACTGTTTGTCATGGACACTGCTGGTTCCATGGGGTGTGCAGGGTCATTGCTGTGCCTGCAGCTCCATGCTTGAGTCCTGCTCTCATCCCTCAGGCCATGGCACAACTCATGTCTTAGGGAGAAGGATGGGTTGTCTTGTTCAACAGTGAATCCAAAGGCAGCAGTGGGGAAGCCAATGTGTGGTAGTTTGAGGTCAGTGGGGTGTCCTGCTCACTGGTGTTGCTTCTGAAGCTGGGATCACTGGGGTCACTTGGGGAAGAAAAGCTTGGCAGTCACATTTTACCCTGTCACATCTCCTGTTTCTGCCTCTTAACAAGAGTCACTTCATCAGTTACATCTGGATCTGTTTTCACTTTGTGCATGTGTTTCTGCACAAAGCAGAAGTGTGCTTCTACAGCAGGAGCTAAGACACCATTGCCATCCCTCACTGCCTCCAGGGCTGTGGTTTGCTAGTAGCTCTGGATTTCCCAAGGACTCACGTGGATTTTCTGTGCTGTCCCAAGCCCTTGACTCAGCCACATGAACAGGAGCTGATGGGCTGTGCTGTGCTGGGAGACACTGTCCTCTGCTTGGCTGCTCTGGGAGTTTTCTGGCTGAATTTGCAGCTGATGTTCTCGATTTCCAGGTTCTTGTGTTAGCAAAGGTGATTTATCCAGCACGAACACAGCTGATGACTCTGGTCCCAGATGAAAACATCCATCATCATCTGCCTGTGCTTGGCTGTAGTTAAGAATGTCCTCTCCTTGCTGGAAAGCTCATTTCCATGGTGCTAGAGCTTCAGTGCCCAGCCATTGTGAGCCAGTATTTACAGCCCTTTCTGTGGGGCTTGGGGCCTGCAGCTCTGTGATTCAAATGGGAGTGTCCACATCCATCTTCTGCCTGGATGTGTGTCTTGGTGTGAGGCTGTGATCTTTCCCTGATTTTCACCTTGTACCAGCTGCACTGTCCCTTGCCAGGCTTGTATGAAATGGGGCCATCTCTGCCTTGTTCCTCTGTTGTCCTTGTCATACAGTGTGCATAGTCATGGGGCTCTGCAGAAAGCTGCAGAAGATGGGCTTCTGCCCACAGGCATTGCTCTGCTCATGGGGACAGGCTCCAGTATTGCACCAGGGCTCTGTCCTGGTAAAATCCTCCCCATCCACAAATTTCAAATACAGTTGACCTCCCAGTGCTGACTTTATTACTGGGACCAGGGGATGAGTGTGCTACTCTCGAGTGCCTTGTGTCACCTGCAAGGCTCCTTCCTCCTCCCTTGCTTCTTCCCCTCTGCATGCTTTTTGGTAGAAAACGGACAGACCACTTCCATGTTGCAAAGCAAACCACTTACAGGCGAGCTGTGCTGCTGGGAGGGATGTGTGAGTGGCAGCATGCTTCTTACTCAGCTGGGTCCGGTGTCTGCCAGTGACCTTCCCCTGCTTGTGCAGGCTTGAGTTGAGGGTCTCGTCATGGGACATGGGTATGGAGGGGACTTTAAGCTCTTTGGCTTCAGACCCTGTTTTTGTACCATGTATCCTGCTTCATACCTTAATCAAACTCCTTCTTGGAACTCTCATTTGCTGATTGAGAGCCTCACTGCATGTCTCCTCACACCAGATGGACTCTCTGTTCCCTTCCACACGCCTGCAGTTCGTACCTCAGCTTGTATTTGTCTCTCTTGATCATGGGTGGCCAGAGCTGTGCATGTGGAGCTGTTATTAGTGCCCTTGGTGTGCAAAACACCCTTCTGCTGCAAGTTTTCACATTTCAATGGGAGATCTCAGGGTGGGTTCATGCCTGCTGCATCTTGTTCCATTCCTATTTCTGTGCCTTCATTTTTCTAAAGTTATAGCTGCCCCAAACCTTCTGTACTACTGTAGCCCGTACACCCGCTCGTGCAGAAACTCCAGGCAGTTGGTTGATTCCAGAAGCAGATCTTGCAGCACAGATCAAATTCAGGGTTTTGCTGGCATGTGACCCCAAGCAGCCTGGGGCTTGCAGCCCATGGGATCTGTGTCCTCAGAGCCAACCTGTACATATGTGACAGAGTGCAAACTGCAAGTTATTTGCATTGACTGCCTCTGTGTTAATCTCTAGGAACTTTATCTGTGGGACTTCTGCACTGCACCCTTCCTCTTCTTTTCCTCCTTGGCTCTTGATTTCCTCCTACTTGTGACTGCTTCATCCTTTTTCTCTGCATGTGATCTCTGCATTACTGTATGCTTTAATATAAAAGCTGAAAATGCATTTGGGAAATAAGAGGATGAGGAGCATCAAGTAGGAAGTGGGTGGGGTGAGAGAGAAGAAGGTCACTTCTGTCCCTGTGCCTGGATCCCCCCAGTGCATGGTGCTGGCTGCACGGAAGCAGAAGTGGCAGCTGCTGCCTATGAAGGTCATGGGAGGAGTTGGTCTAATTGCTAACCCACAGCTTCCTTTCACTTGCAGGAGGGAGGATCAGTGGTGGGTGTGAGGGCTTATACCGACAGCTTGCTGCTCCCACCCCAGCTGTACAAGGAGCATTAGCTGCCTGCAGTACAAAGGTTGTCCCCACAGTGGGCTGCCCCACGGGGCACTGGGGGCTCTGCCTCTTGCAGCCCCTGAGTCCACAGGTAGATGATGCTGGGTGCAAGCAGGACAGCCACAGTGCTATGTCAGTGGCACTTGCAACTTCATCCTCCATCTGCTCTTACAGCTGCTCCTGTAGATGTGCGTTGCTTGGAACCAGGCTGTAATTACGACTGTAATGTATATTTCCTGGTGTTTGCATTCTGTTGTCTGCAATCCTAAAACTATAATTAACAGCTATTCCTGGTATTTTCCTTCTCTCTGGTATGCTGGAGGATGCAGAGCTGCTCCTGTGTGTGTTTCCGCCAGGAGTCAGGAGCGGTGCTTGTGGCCACAGCAACCCACTGTCAGAACAGCCCCCTCCTCAGGGTCTTGAAATCCATGAATATCAACCCACACCTCCCAGATACCCATTTCCACTTGGTCCTGGAAATATACTGTAGCTATGAGATGGTACCCAGCTGGCACCAGGGCAGCCTGGACCCTGGGAAGTGCAGGTGAGAGGAGGCAGCAGTGATCCCAGGCGTGAGTCAGTGTTGGGCATAGAGTCTCATCGCACAGGAGTGCTAACAGAGGGTGAACATGATCACAAATGGAAACGGGTGCTGGTACAGAACAAAAATAGTTCCTCCTAGAGCTCACTGGGAAGCCTGATCTCACACACAGGCATGTGTCAGCTTTTCAAATGGCATAAACACCGCCTGGTACTTCTGGAGGTGCTCTGAATACCTGACACTGTCTTGTCCACTGGCAGCAATACTGCATTTCCCCTTTCTCAGAACCTGCAGAGAACCAGTTTTCTTCTCAGAAACTCAGCAGAGCTGTCCTGATGTCAGGAGGACAGAGGCTTGTGTGCATCGTGAAACCTCAGTGAGGGGCACGTGGGCAGCAGCAGGAGCAACACCGTTCAGGCATTTCCCACTGAAGGTCTCAGACCCCAGCAATCAGCACTGGGCAGGTCAGCAGCTCCAGTATCTGTGTTGCAGAGGAAGTTGTTAGCTGCAGTACCTAGCACAGCCGGTGCACGGTCAGAGATGTGGATGATGTCATTTTAAGTCCTGAAAACCCTTGGAAGATACCGCTGACACACTGACAGATGGAGCTTAGAGCACTGGGCGGTGGGGAGTCCCTGTGTCATGGCTGTGCCACAGCATCAGCTTTGTGACACTGAGATTCTTGCAAACAATTCCACTCCCTGTAAACCAGTGATGAAGCCTAATCCTGCTGGAGAACCCCACTGTCCCTTTGTGGATGGCCCCAGAGGAACGATGCCCCTGAGCATGCACAACAATGCTGTGAGTTAACCTGCTATAAGTTGCTCTCACATTTCATCTCTGGTCTTTCATCTTCCCAATACTGCTGTGTCCAAAACGTGTGGATTTGAAGCAAGAGACTTCTTCCTGAATTTTGCTCTGTGAGCATGGGAGGTCTCATTTACCACTGAGGACAAGTGGATCATCCCGACAGTGAAAATGGGTATACAGAGGTGGCTTTGGTAGCAGGCATTAGCCATCTTATGCAAAAAAAAAAAAAAAGAAAGCTGTTTTGTTAGTCTGAGATTTGGAAGAGGAAGGTAGGGGTGATCCTAGCTGGAGGGTGTGTTGCTGTAAGAGCAGATCAAGGGCCTGATTTGGCTAAGCTGTCCAAAGTATCTTCCCCAGGTCCAGTTGTGTAAGAAAAGGAAACAAGGAGCGTGTTTTCCAAAATTGCAGCTAGGCACAAATTCTAAACTAAAGGCAAGAAGCCTTATAAATCTTGCACAGTGTTTGGACGTGAGCATGCATCTTTTATTGTACTTTAGAGCTGGTAAGATAAAGAGGGGAAAAAAGGAAGCTGCTTTCCTCTCCCTGTGGCCAGACTGTGCTATGCCCACGGGGCTGGCAGTGTGGCTGCTCGCTCTGATGTGCTGATAATCCCTGGGAAGAGGCTTGTAGCTCAGCATCCTGCTGCTGGGCCTGGATCTCTGTGTGCACATTGGCAAATGCAGGGAGCTTTGTGCTGGGGATGCTTAGAAAGCTGGAGGCCCTTAAAACAGCATCATGGAAGGCTCCAGGTTATGCAACTTCTTTTCACAGCACTGTAAAGTGTTACTGCTTGTTATTACTGCTTGTTACAGTGTGTGCTTGTGGGCAGCTTTGTGTCTGTTCTAAGCTCCCTGACATCAGGCAATGCTGTTGGTTGGTGATTGAATTAGAGGAGCTGCAGCCCTATCTTGATAAGCCAGCCTTGGTTCCAGTAAGAAATTATCATTGAAGCATTTTCACTTGATCCCTGAAGTGCATTGAGGCTGGGAGCAGGCACACAGCCCCCTCCACCTGCTGAGCAGCTGTGCAGTGCCCAGCCCTAAGGTTCTGAAAGCCACAGGTTTCCAGGAAACAAAAGGTGAGCAGCACAGCAGGGTGCTGGGGAGTGGGCTGGCAGCATCTTGGTGCCTGTGAGCAGGCTGCAGTCCCACCAAGTGCAAGAAGGCCGTGTCTAGAGGTTGTGCTGTCCCTGCAAAGCTTAAGATGAAGGTAAGATTTAGGTGACTAAACTAAAGATTTAGGTGGCTAAACTGAAGATAGACAACAGACAAGATAATGCTACAAGTTCCTCCAGTTCAATTTTTTCAGCAATTGTAAATTCACCTCTTTCAAAATAGCTCTGTTTGGGTCATGGCAGAGGATAAGGCGCCCAGGACCTCTATCGCTGTTTGAATGTCTTGGTGGCAGTGTTTGTGCATCAACACCCAGATCTCTGGGGTTCTTGGAGCAGAGGAGGTGATGGCAGTATCAGCACTGACTGGCTCTGTTCTCCTCCAGGTTTCTTGTCCTTCCTTTGGTTTGTAGCCTTCTGCTTCCTAGCAAACCAGTGGCAGCGGACAACAATGAGCAAAGGGGCTTCGCAAGGAGCAGATGCTGCCCGGGCATCAATTGCCTTCTCCTTCTTCTCCATCATCGTCTGGGTGAGTTCAGCTTCTGGACTTTTCAAGGGCCCTACCTGTGAGACCTGCAGCTTTTTATGTAGGGGTACAGCTACTGCACCCAGGGCATTAAGGTACAAGTGCTGCCTACCACTGTCATGGCGAGGGTCCAAGCACCTCGTGGGGCAGATACTTATCCCCGGAGCTGGGCTTTATCCACAGGGCACAGATTTAATTACAGAAGAAACTACCCAACTCAGCTAGGCTGGGGAGAGGAGAAATGAAACCTACTACGGGCTCAGCACTGAGCTGAAGGAGGAATCTGGGGCACAGTTTGGGGAAGTGAAGCCTGGTGAGTGGTGAAGGGCTGTACTGAAGGAACCTGCAGTTCGTCCTTCTCCCTCTGCAGGGAGCTGAAACTGTGGTTGCTTACCCAGGAAGCCCCAGCTCCAGTCCCCTCTCCCTGGGAACTTCCAAACTTCTCCTCCTGCAGCTAGCAAGTTGCATTTCCATCAAAAACATGTTGCTGCCCATGTGCTGCCCTCATTTCAGACCCCAGGGAGGAGTTTGGTTTGAAGCAAATGAGTCCCCAGGAGTACACCATGATGAGCCTGTCCCATAGGGTGTGGGGGATTTTGACAGCCCCTAGGGGAAACCAGACTGTCTGCTCTGCTGCTTTCCTCAGGAGAGGTGCAAAGTGCTGCAGCAAATACATAAGGTCCATTGCAGACAGTTGCTGCCAGGGCCAGGGAAATAGTGTTGGGCCAGAGGAAATGCCAAAGGGCCATAAGTGTACAGCAGGGGAGCACCCGTTGCCCTTGGGGCTTATAGGGGGGGCTAAGGCCGTGCCATCTTGGTGTCTGTGGGCAGGTTTTCTTTATCCTGAGTCTGTCATTTAAAAATTAATTGAATTGTTAATGAAACCTCTTGAAATAAAGGTGAGTGCAGGTCTCTCACAGCTCTGCTGCTTCCATTTCCCACAATTCATGACCTGAATACTTGCAACCTGGAAAAGGGTGAAGGAGTCTCTGCAGGACTGACCTATTTCACTGGCCTGGGACAGTTTCCACTCGTTGCAGTGGTTGGTTTGATGGTGCCACTTCCTTGATGACAATGGGAACCTGATCAGAACACAGTGTGGGCTTTGGTTTTGCAGGGGGAGAACTCATAGCTCTCAATGGAAGGTTTTGCTTTGCAGCATGAATATGAACAATGTTAGGAGGCTGAAGGGCAAGCATCTCTGTGAGGCCTCTTCTGTGATTTGGGAGGCACGGAGAGGGGGAAAGGATGGCAGAGGGAAGCACAGAGTGCTGATGCAAGGTGGTGCGGTGTGGCACAGCAGTGCACGGTGGTGCAGCACCGGTATGCCCTGCACACCTGGCTCCTCCTGGGCCAGTGGTTCCTATGGCTGCGGAGGAGCAGGAGGCAGCAGTCACCCACGGTGCTTGGCTCTCCCCCCAAATCTCTTCATCCCTTGCAGGTCGCACTGGCACTGAAGGCCCTGCAGCGGTACCGCCTGGGCACCGACATGTCGCTCTTTGCCACCGACCAGTTTGCCACCGACCCCAATGCTGCGTATCCCGGGTACCCCACTGGCAGTGGCATTGAGAGCACAGAGACCTACCAGAGTCCCCCGTTCACCGAGACCTCGGACGCCAACCCGAAAGGTTACCAAGTGCCAGCATACTGAGGGAGGAGGGCGTGCGGCCGTGTACAAATAGACCGAGTCCTATGGTGCAGTACAGTTAACCGGTTGATTGCAAATGTATTCAGTACCATTTCCTTAATGTGGCAAGTCAGTGCTGGGTTCCTTACTATTAGCTAGTTGTGCAGTGAATTCTGTACAGTGGTATTGGTTCTTGTCTTACCTGTCCAAGGGTTTTATAAAAGCAGTGTTCCCTCTAAGTCGGAAGAAAGAAGGTCGCTACTCCATGTGGCAGAAGATAAGTCAGTACCTTCTTCGAGGCTTGTTTTAGCACCACTGGGCACTAGGTGCCACAGAGTGCCTGGGAAAGCCAAAAATACCTTTTCCTGTTAGAAAACAAGGTAGCTGATGAGTTGTTCATCTCGTTCTTCCAGAGCTAACACAGATGTGGCCTCATTGCGGTGAGGGGGGCTGCAGCTGGGGCGGTTGATCCTGGCCTAGTCCCACTCCTGGCAGAGCTTTCATGTACAGCACAGAGAGCAGAGGCCATGGAAAGTGCCAAATTTACAAAGAAAAAAGTGGTGTCTGTGTTACTTTTATTTGTATATATTTATTGTACAAAAAAACACGACCAAACGGGTGTTTCAAACATAGTTCAGGGTGCGGGGGGACATGGGGGCACAGAAGTTTGGGTTCTATCTTGAATATCCAAATAGCTTCTATGCTTCCATGCGGTTTTGGTTGAGGATACAGAAAGTTGTGTTTGAAACTTGCTTTGGAAAAGAATTTAGCAATAGTTGTCTGCTAATTAGAAATAGGCTTTTATCAGTGGAAAATATGGCGTGTTACAGTTCCACTTCATTGTGGGGTTGTTGAAGTTTGCAAATTTCCAAACAGTTCTGATTGGCAACACTGAACTCTTGCTCACCCTCAGACCCAGAGCTGCCAACACAAAAGGTGTGGGTGCCTCAGTGACTCAAATTCTAAGTCAATTAGGAAGCAGATTGTAACTTGTGTTTTTCTACTGGGAGCAGCCACCATCTGTCGTAATTGCAGCAAAATCCTCAGGTGTAAATGTGTGTGTTGCACTGCAGTCCCTGGTGATGCAGAATTCAAAGCAAGCACCGAAAGGACTCGGTGGGCTTTGAAGTCTGTTGTGGGGGTGCACGTGGCACACGTTTGCCCATCGTGGGAGAATAGAATGGATGATAAACGCCCGAGGACGAGGCTGTTTGGTTTCCAGCAGCAGAATTACAGCCTTGTTAATACCAAGTCAATCTGAAAAGTGCAGCAGATGCTCATCAGTGGCTGACGTGCTGGGTGTGCAGTGGCTGTGAGCAGAGCTGGGTGCTGCTGAGGACAGAGCACGGTGGCTGAGAGTCCTCCTGGCCCCCCTCCTCACCTGGCTGCAGGGGTCCTTCGCTGCACTGTTGTTGCTGGCAGAGCTGTGTGTTGCCTTCTGACCTCACAAGCAATAGATAAATGACTGCCCCAGCTGTTCTTGTAGCAAAAAAATCCAGCAGTTTTTTGTCATCATCATTAGCACAGCTCATTTCTGCTGCTAAATAGCAAATAAATGCATTAATTAATAAGCAGCAAACCTCATCACAGGCAGTCGTTATCGGTGACAAAATGCATAACTTGAATACCCCACTATTCAGGTCAGATTAAAACTTGCATTTACAGTGAGTGCTGGCTTTCCTGGATCTGGATCTGCCTGGCAGCACCCAGTGCTGATGGAGCTGTGCGGGCATTTCCCAGCTCAGACACTTTTCCTGCAGAGCCCAACCCTCCGTGTGTGGTGACAAAGGGACCTGGCATCCCTTACAGCTTTTCCTTACAGTGACAACTCCACAGCATCTCCCCAGTACCTTTGCCATCCACTCTGAAGTGAACTTAGTATTAGGAAGAGCTCAGCCCCGCTGCCAGCATAGCTGCTCCCTGCAGCAACAGGATGCTGCACTGCTCATGGAGGAGGCACCTGGAGCTGATGCAAGAAGCAAGAAAGGTGCCCTGGGGGCGTCTGCTATCAGCCTGTGCTGGTTGAGGTAGGTGAGCAGTGAGAAATTTGTGCACTGAGTGGGGACACCCAAACCCCAGTAGAGTATAAGCCTAAGTTAATTCTCTAACCCTTGTGATTTTTCTAGAGCCAGTCTTGATGAAAATAAAAGGGCAAAAGATATTAATACAGGGTACAGTAGAACTGTAGCAATATTTTCCTTAGAGGGAACACTGAAATTTTAGCAGCACAAACAGTACTTGTGTTAATATTTTAGTAAAATTATAATCAATTTAAATGTTTAAATTGATTGTATGTGAGATAATGTTTGTTCAGTACATTGTATCTTTTCTAACTATATAACTGTTCCAGAGTTTCCTTGTAACTGTAAAGAACTAAAGTTCTGTCTGACTGCGAGAAGTGTCCTGGTCAGTGGTGTAAACGTGCTGAATATTACAACATCTGAATGTACGCACCCCAGGCCTACATTGCATTTCTTTTCTTTCCACCCCTCCCACCCGTGGCTGTGGGACATGGATGCACATCCCCACGCCGTCCCTGACCTGAGAGCAGCCACTACGGCATGGGGGCAGCAGCACAGCTGTGACTTCATCCCCAGGCCGGGCAGCGTCGTTCTTCTCAAGGTCAGCTTCTTCTTGCAGTCATTTCTCCCCAGAATGTGTTATTATGTTTAAATTCTGCTTGGCGCTGTGCGTGAGGACCTGGATGTGCTGCACTCAGCAGAAGAGGAAGGGGCTTTGGTGGCTGGGTTTCCTGGCAGGGGTGAGGCAGAGCAGGAGCTGCTCCATGGCCGTGGTCTGGCTGCTGCCAGAGAAACCTCCCCCTGCTCCGGGTGCTGCTGGGGCAGCAGGAGCCGGCAGACATCCCTCAGTTGGTGCAGTTTTTGCAGGTCAGCACAGTCATTCCTCAGTCTACATCAGGGTGGGAAAAAGTGTAATTAAGGTGGCACTGCGACACCTAAGATACTCATGCCTTGGAAACAGCAGTCAGCCACCTTGAAAGAAAAACATTTCCTGGTTTGTTGGCGACTGTTGCTCAGCTCCTGTGTAATTCCTCATCCCCCAGGCTGGTAGCACAAGGCCCTGCTGAATTAAAACCTTAATTAAGGAAGCGTGAGACATCAGCCCTCTCCCTGGCAGTGATGACTCATGCCTACCCCTTGCACAGCGTCCTGTTTCCAAGCACTTTGCAAGGCCCTGCAGTGCTCCCACTGTCTGCTCTGTGTTACCAGTGCTGTCTGTTAACTGTTACAGCATCTTCATGATGGGTCAGTCAGACTGTGTGTGCAGGTATGGGCTGTAACAGCAGAATTATTGGATCCCTGCAGTATCTCATTCAAGGTTCAGACTGTCTTAGCATCACTCTTTCATACTTCTTTCACCCACTTTTTTTCTCTCTGTAAGTTCACTGTGGTACAGTGGACAGTAGCTGCTTTCCTTGTAACCCTGCAGACCAGCCCTTACAGACATGCCAGCATTTTGCTGCAAATCCATGCCCTGCTGGCTGCTAGCCCCATGCTGCTCTCAGAAGCCATTGTAGAGTCCTCCAGAAATCTTGCAGCTGACCAGGCTGCCCTCAGCCTCACGTGCTGACAGCTCCTGTGTAGTGTCAGGGCTGAATTTCAACATAGACTATGAGCAAGCCTGTACCTTTTCTTCCTGGAGATTTATTCTACTAGATCCTTGTGCTCAATGAGGCTCTGTTGGGACAACACAGGCATTTCTCAGCATTGAAATTAAACCACATTATGGGTAGTTTTGTTTGTTTGTTTTTGCATGAACTTATACTTTAAACCCATTAGAAAAGGATTTGAAATAAAGACATTAATTGGAAATTGCTCCCGGCATCGTAAGCTATTCCTAGCAAGGTAGAAGTTTTGTTTAACCAACACTCAGCAAAATCATCTCCCCAACAATGTGCTTCACCATCTCCTGCAGTTTAACCATGTCCATGAGCAGTTGGATTTCACTTGCTGTTTTGGTGAGGCACTTTGTAAGATGAGTTTCCCATTGGGCAATCTGCAGGTAGCAGCACAGCACTGCTGAGTTCATGCTACAACAGTGACAGCTCTGGCATCTCTGCTTTTTCCATTGGCTGCTCTTTACTGGGGGATATCAGTCCCCTTCCCTCTCCTCTACAGCACTGTCCCATTCCCCAAACTCACACCTACTGCCCTTCTGCCCGCTGCAGCCATGAGAGCAGTTGAATAGAATTAAGCCAACTGCGATCATTGTCTATTCATTAGTAAAAGTGTAGAATCAATATTCCTCTCTCTAAAAGCTGTGTAATATTTGCAGACTTCCTTTCAGCCTTCTTTGTCTTCCTGGGGAGAGCAGACAAGTCGAGTTCCACTCTGTTTTATCCATAATGCTACTCTAGATTGCATTTAGAAGCTGTGTGTCAACCTCCCACCACCCATGAGGCTCAGACATGGCCTTCGCTGTCCCAACTTGAAACCCAAGTTCAGCTGCCTGTATTTTGTTGCAATATGCATTTAAACCTCAGATTCTTTATAAGTTTTAATAACAACCAGATACCAAATGTGGTTTGCAAATTTAAGTTCTTTTGCAGATACCTCTGTATGAGCAGACCGCTTCCACGAGTTGCAGTTGTCACTAACCTTACGTGGATTGTAGTATAAAGTGGACTGTGTATGGAAATAAGTTAAAAATGTTTACAACTTTTGTATATATATATATATAAATATATATAAAAAAATATCTTTTGAGAGAGCAATCTGTGATGATGTATTTTCAGTGTCTGTGTACCAACTGCAACTTATTTTCAATAAAGAGTTTAAAATGAATAGAAGCAGCCTGAACAAATTTGGTAATGCTTTATTTAATCGGGTGAGCGCAGGGAGCAAGGAAACTGCATCGTCAGGCCAAGGAGAACCGAGCACCTCGAGGAAACTGAGAGCAGCACCGTGAGTTCTCAACCTGCCGGCTGGGAACTTACGTATTTGCTAACACAGAAGAAAATAAACTGAAAAATAGAGGGAAGACGTCAGAAACTCCTGCAGAAGATACGTGCTTTGTTTCCTCTGAGCTTTTCAAACCCAAGGGGCAGTCAGGGGAAAGAACTGAGGATGCAGATCTGTTGCTGACTTGGGCAGCTGGCATCCAAGCTGGAGCACCGGCGTGTGGTGGCACCTGGCTCTGCTCGAGAGGCAGCGCCTTGCGCCAGGAACACAGCAGCGTTACGGGTCACCACGTATTCATGCATTCTATCAACAGCCGTGCAGCCTAATGCTCCTCCCTCCCTCTTTCAGGGCATGCAGTCTGGCCCCTGTGCTGAACACAACACATCCAGGAATTCAAAACAGTCTGAATTATTTGGAAAAAGAAACTGAAAGCACTTTGCAGCCTGACAGCAAGCAAAATTAACAAGTATAAGGCAAGGAAGAAATGCTGTAGCCAGGACTAGCTCTTCAGTAATAGACTGAGCTCAATTTCATAGAAACGCTTATATAAAAGCAGTGTTTTGTCACTTAAAAATTACATAAATTAATCTCAACATGTTAAAAATAACTAAACCTGGTCTGCAAAGATGGGCAAGAATCAGATGCTTAATTATAGCCATGGAAGTGCACTACAGGGAGCACGTGTCACTCCGTCACGTCATAGCTGCTGCTGGAGAAGTTATTTCAAATGATGAACAGATTCAGCTCCTGTTTTCCTAGAGGTGGAAGTTACAGATGGCAAGCAATGTGAGCAAAGCTACTGCAGACCATCACCAAGGGAGATACAGGATGTAAACACTCCATAGCCTGAACAACTTATCCTCGTTAGTGCAGACCACTGTAAACAGATAAATGCACTTGAAGGCACTGCAGATAAACATGGTCAGTGATCAGCAGCATTTAATATCCCAATATGCCGTTGGTTGGAGCTACCACCATTAATACATCCAAGAAATAGAAACGTGGCAATCATTAAATAAAATCACCGTGAAGTGTGCTTTACGGAAAGTAAAGCCTGAACATCATCGTTCTACATGCAGTGCTACAAAAGTTTCTTTAAAGAACATGTTACATAAAAGGTCAGAGGCAACTTCAAACCTCAGGCTCAACTCATCACACAGATCAGTCCAATTCTTCAAGTAGTAGAATTAATTCAGTTTTCAGACAGGAATATTCTTAGCTATACGAGCAGCCCAACGTTTACAGACACACAACTGGAACGGCCCTATTCACCAGTGAGTAGGAGCAGTTCTGCATCTCTGCACCCCTGACTGCTTCCATTTCTGCGGTCACAGAAACAGCACAGAAATCAGAATATAAGGGAACTCACTTCTGCTTCTATTCACTTCAGTGATTCAATATCTCCCCCCTCTGCTCCCACCCTTCCCTAAAGAAAGAAAACCCCCCCAGCCAGATGCATATTCCCCTATTGTGTCCCCAGTCAGACTTCAGATCAGAAAGTATTTTCTCAGCTATTGCATGTTACAGGAGAAAGGTGGCCCCCTGCCTGCCCACCCTGCAATTTTGGCCTAACTCTACTCAGGCATTTTGGAAGCTCAGACTTTGGATGTTAATTAGCTACGGCGCAGTCCAGTGATCCCTTTGCACAGTATTTATGAACAGCACTGAGGGCTCTCTAACAGTTCCCTGTGTATCAGTACTCAACTGGCACCAGCTCTCAGCCACACTACGCTGTCAAACCTCATTCCAAAAAGTGCATATTCATAGATAGAAACTGTTTTATTGGTCTTCATAAGAGCTAACTGATGATTCTACTGATTGCTTGTAAGGAAGGGAACTCCTCATCCTCAATATGCAAAGCTTTATGAGTGACAATGTCCTGCAGCGTTAGCACTTGCTTACATGTTGGGCAGATGCAGCAGTCGAGATCGGAGTTGGAGTCCGTTTGCCAAACATTCTTCTTGTTCTTTTTGGATTTGTTTGAACTTTGCTTTTCCTTGATTTTGAAATCATTGTGAGCAGAAAGCAGTTCTTGTTGCTTAACTGTGTCTGGCAACAACACCAGCAACTCGTTAAAAATTTTCCTGAAATTATCTCCAAGCAGTTCTCGGCAACTTTTGTAATACTCTGCTGCAGAAATCAGACCCTTCAGTGAAAAGGAAATTGGAATAATTAGAAACTTCAAAAATAATAATCTGATTCATCTATAAAAAGATTCACGTTCTTCCAGGCCACACTACGTGCACTTTGCTGTGCTACAGAAGAGCTACAGTGGAGCACGCAGTTCAAAAAGAAAACCTGCATCTAGTCCACTCACCAACCACAAACAGAGGCACATGAACTGAGCTGGGGAGGATTTCAGGAAGGCAAAGGTTCTTGCCCACTCACCTGTCTGAATTGCCCAGAATGAGTTTTAAATTTATTGAACTTGGACTCATCACTTTGGAGGAATTCTTTAATGGACTGTATTAGCTGAATGTTCCTTTGCTGAAAGTTTTCAGGTATCAAGTATGTCCCTTGGCTGGATTTTGGCCTGCATTTGGGGGAAAAAAAGTAATGCAATTGGATACTGCCTCATATTACAGAAATATGCTGCAGACACACATTACATGATTATTCTTTTCTCCCTTTCTCCACCCAACTACACGTGCAATTTCTGCCAGCAGCACATGGATACAGTAATCCTATCAGTGTTTTGTGCTCTGTCTGAAGCTTCTATGGCATATCTCGAGATGCAATGTGTAAAGTAACTCTAACAAAAGGACTTTTACTTACTCTTTCAAAGATGTAGTGACAGGTTCAGAGATACTGGTGGATGGAATAACAGCAAAACCTGGTGGGGGTTTACTAACAGGCACTGACAGTCCTGGAGGCGGAGGAGGACTCTTTAATAGCACCACAGTGTTAAAGCCTAAATGAAAACAGAAATGGGCAGGAAGTTAGAGCACATATCTGTGGCACCCATATACCAGCAAGTAAAATTAACACCAACAGTCTGACGTACTCTCCAGAGGCATCAAGAAGTAACAGTCAACAGTGCAGTCATCACTGTTTCAGAAGAAACCTAAACATTAAAGAGGTGGAAATCTGTTGCCCTATCGTTTGGGTCAGGAAGTGCTTCACAGCACCTGATATGATTTTACAAAGAGAGAGGACTTTCAAGACACTGCTACTCAGGCTGCCTTGTTAACTGCAGCCCAGAAGCTGTCAGTGCCCTGAAGTGCTTACCCGGTGGCGGTGGCATTCGAGCTGATCCTGAGCTCCCAAGAGCTGGGAAATCTTCCTGAGGTAAAGGGCATTGGTTCGTCACTGTGGGCTTTTTAAGGCCAGGGGGCTCTTTGGGTGTACTACAGAGTGCTAATGATTTTTCTGAATGACCATTCACGACAGCTGCAGATCTGTCAGAGGCATGAAGAGCAGAAGCAGCGTTTGATGTCCGCTCTGCTTCTGGCAGCTTTTCAATACAGGACCTGGGCAATGAGGTCTCCTGTAACAGGTGTGGGGATGATGGTCTCTGCTTCTCAACCCCCATCCTCTTTTTCTTGCTCACTTTTGTGAAAGTCTGTGAGGTAGAAGCTGCCAGCAAGGACGATACATCAAACATTGTCGGTGTGTTCCTTATCTCCTGGGTTGTCAAGCCACTACTGCCGTCTTCATCATCTGACTGAGAGAGTTTATTGCTCTTCTTAATTCCTTTAGTGCTATTCAAGGAGTATGATTTTTTGGCTATCTGATTTACGCAAGGGTTGCTAATGGCTTTGACCACATTTTTACTGGAACCACTGTTCCACGCAGATGTGATGTTAGTTACTGTTTTATTGTTAGGCCTCATTTTGGACACCAGAGCTGGAAAATCCTCCTCTTGAAAAGCTGTTTTCTTTGCAGTCGCTGTGTACGTCAAAGACATCCCAGAAGAGACAGCGGGTGCTGCAGAGGATGACAAGCTTGGGAAATCTTCTTTAAGCTTAACTGCTGCTAGCTGAGCAGAGCTGCGAGAAAGGAAAAGTGCACCCAGTTACACCACCTCTGCACAGACAGCAAAACTCCCAAAACTCCACCAGGCAAAAGAGGCTCCGGGCCTGACTGCATTCTTCTTCAATCCATCACTTGGAGTGGCACAGCTGCCACAGCCATTAACAGGATGCAGATACATAAACCGTGTCTGGATGAGTCTCTTCAAAGCAGTCTCACTAGCCTTGCTGTCTTATCTGTGCTGTCTTAGCACACCTTACCTTGACCAGCAAGCCAGACATGCAGGCTTCTAGTGCATCCTAGTGTCCACATCCTGCAAAGACTCTATTAATAGTTACCACCCATTTAACGAGATGATGAATTTAAAAACCCCAAGAGCATATGGCTCCCTCAAGATAAGCTAGTGAGTTAAAAATGAGTGGAGTCAGGAATACTGAAAAGTTCCCTGGAACTGCACTACAAAAATAACATAAAATAAAATAAAAATCAAGCTGCAAACTGAAGCAACAGCCTGTGCTGTTCATGCAGCAGCTGACACAGAAACAGGTCAAAGCAGAAGAGGAACTGAGAGAGGGGAGCACCTACAGTTCAAGAGATCTATAAAACCAATTCTTCCAGAAACACACAACCCAAGTAAGTTTCTAAATCAGCTTTCTCATTGCTGCAGTCTTGAACAAACTTACCCTTGTAGAGGTCCTACTGCAGAACCAATTGCTGGAAAGTCATCTTGGCTTAAAGCACCATTAGCAGCTGCTTCTTTTGGGGTATTGACAAAAAGAGCAAAGAAATATATTCAACTAAAATCCAGTAGTTTCAAAGTGGAAGCTATCAACGAACACGACAGCAGCAATAACAAGTTCTATTTTCAGCAGCT